ATAGCAGGACTTAAGACATTTGTACAAACAGACCACTAAGGGGACACAGCACAAGACATGTCTGCAGACAGACCGATGGCAGGACTCAGCACAAACCATCCTCACAGTTGCATTATTCCACATAAAATGCTATTCCCAAATAAATCTCATTTATTTTAGAGAGTCCGTCTCTGGATTTCTCCACCAAATAAATCCCATTTATTTTAGAGAGTCCGTCTCTGGATTTCTCCATAGGTTGACAGTGTCGTGTAGGATTCAGCACAGAGAACAAAGACGGGAAGGGCAATCCCCCAGCAAAAGACCAGATGGAAGAGGGACAGTCAGGCATTTGTAAGGTCTAAAAAGTTGAGTGATACCTGACAAATTTTGTTATGTTGTGTTTTCATTCAGTTCAAAATACTTTCTTATTTCCCTTTGATTTATTCTTTGACTCATGAGTTATTTGGGGGTGTGTTATTTAGCTTCCAAATATTTGGGAATTTTCCAGAGATCGTTCTGTTACTGATTTCTAGTTGAATTTCATTGTGGTCAGAGAACGTATTTTGTGTACCTTGAGTCCTTGCCTGGGGCGTGGTGGCTCACACCTGTAATCCCAACACTGGGACACTGAAGCAGGAGGATCACTTGAGCCTGGGCAACGTAGCAGGACCCTGTCTCTACAGAAAAATTACCCTGGGGTGGTTACCCATGCCCATAGTCCCAGCTACTGGGAAAGCTGAACTGGGAGGATCACTTGAGCCCAGGAGGCTGAGGCTGCAGTGAGCCATGTTCCTGCCACTGCACTCCAGCCTGGGCAACAGAGTAAGACCCTGTATCAAAAAAACAAAACAAAAAACCACTTGAACCCTTTTGAAGTTAACAGGGTTTGTTTCATAGCCCTGACTGTGGTCTCTCTTGGTAAATGTTCTGTGTGTGCTTGTGGAGAATGTATTCTGCTCTTGTGGGGTCAACTGTTTTAATGTCAGTCAGGTCCAGTGTATTTCAATTCCATATCCTTGCCAATTTTCTAACTACCCATCCTGCCAATTATTGCACTTCATCAAAAATAAAAATTAAGAAAACAAAAAGATAAAAAGACTCACAATGGGAGAAAATATTTGTAAAACATACAGTATAACAAAGGACTTGTGGCCAGGCACGGTGGCTCACGCCTGTAATCCCAGCACTTTGGGAGACCGAGGCAGGCAGATCACTTGAGGTCAGGAGTTCAAGACTAGAGGCCAACATGTTGAAACGCCGTTTCTACTAAAAATACAAAAATTAGCCAGGCATGGTGGCACATGTCTGTAATCCCAGCTACTTGGGAGGCTGAGACAGGAGAATCGTTTGAACCTGGAAAACAGAGGTTGCAGTGAGCTGAGATGTCACCACTGCACTCTACCCAGCCTGGACAACAGAGTGAGACTCCCTCTCAAATAAATAAATAAATGGCAGCCAGGTGTGGTGGCTCATGCCTATAATCCTAGCACTTTGGAGGCCAAGGCGGGCAGTCACCTGAGGTTGGGTGTTCAAGACCAGCCTGACCAACACGGAGAAACCCATCTCTACTAAAAATACAGAAATAGCCAGGTGTGGGGCATATGCCTGTAATCCCAGCTACTTGGGAGGTTGAGGCAAGAGAATCACTTGAACGCGGGAGGTGGAGATTGCAGTGAGCCGCGATTGCGCCATAGCACTCCAGCCTGGGCAACAAGGGTGAAACTCTGTCAAATAAGTAAATAAATAAATAAATAAATGGGCATAACCATTTTGGAGGTTCATTTCTTTTTGCATAACGATGTTCAGTCTTCCAGCACCTGTCGCTGAAAAGACTGTCTTCGCAGATTGCCTTTACACCTTTATCTGAAATGATCATGGGTCCGTGTATGTAGGTCTGTTCTAAACTGTGTGTTCTGTTCCCCTGAACCTTTCACCAGTGCCACACCGTCACTGTAGCTCTATAGTAAGGTTGAAATCAGGTAGCATGAGTCTTCCTACTTTGTTCTGTTTAAATTGTTTTATTTCACATTTACTACACGTAGTGATGACTTGATCTGCATTCTTTGCTTTTTAAAAATGTAGCTCTTCTGGTTTTTAGGAAGGCCAGATGTTTTTGGTCCAGTCGTTCCCTACTGTTCATACTTACTTTTCATGCTGTGGCCCTTCTGCAGCTCAGCGTGGACGGCTTCTCCAGGGTCAGCCAGAAGCAGTGGGGTCACAGCGTAAACCCGGGCTTCCTGGCTGTGAGGCCTGTGCCTCCAGCCACTGAGCGGCCCTGCTTACCCCACGAGAATTGGGAGGAGATCGGGAGGACTGACTGGGGAAGGTGAGCATCAACCTTGACCCCGAACAATGGGAAAACTGGGATGGCAGAAAAGGGCATTGAAGAAAGGAAGAATTGGCTGGGCGCGGTGGCTCACACCTGCAGTCCCAGCGCTTTGAGAGGCTGAGGCAGGCAGATCACTTGAGGTTGGGTGTTGAAGAACATTAAGTTTACCCTGCCCACAGGGTTCCCTTGTGGAAGATACTTTTAGTTTGTAATTAGTGGTAGGTGGGTAACAGCTGCCTGCTTGGTAGATTCTTGAGTTATGTTTATATGTAGAACACCTGTGTAATAATGAGAATCACTTGTCCAAGAGTAAATAAATACGTGGATGAAAATCTGCTCGGGACCTTTAGTCTGGAGAGCTGTCAGCCCCGCAGGCTCTCAGGCTGTTGGTCCCCAGGATACATCTGCTCTGTTGTGCTGAGTGTCCTCCTCTCAAATACCTTCAGCCCGCCTGGGTGGGAGTCTTCTGACTGAGCTGGTTCTCAGTAAGTGGCACCCAAGTGTGGGGACTCAAACCCAGGATGAAGAGTTGCCAGAGCAATGGAGAAAGGAGAGGCTAAGCTGAAGGTATCCCGAGCACATTTGGAAAGAATCCCTGGGGCAAATTGGGGAGCTTGGAAGGAATCCTGGGAATGTTTGAAAAAATCCCCCAGGTGAGTTAGGGGGAGCCCAGGGGACCCAGGGGAGACTCCCAGGTGAGTTATGGAGAACCTGGGGTTAGGCCGAGAATCTTAGAGAAAAAAATCTCCCAGGATTAGCTGGGGGAGCTCGGGATTAGCCCAAGAACGTTTGAAAAGATCTCCCAGGGAAAATCAAGTGAACACGGGGCTTATTTGGTGTGGTCTCTTTGGGCTTTGATGTGTTTTGCCATGGAGCTGTTTCAGACCCGATTAGAAGGAATATGATTCAGGAGAGGAGAAGGAATGTGATAAAGTATGTAAAAAAAAAATTACAGAGCAAAAAAGATGAAAAGCCAAATGAGGAAAAGGTGTGCCCGGCAGCTCCCCCCTCCCAGTCTCGTGCTGAGGGATGTCCAGTACTCCCGATATTTCTACCTCTCCTTCTGAGGGCGTTTGTATTCCTAGAACTACAGTAACCACTTCAGGCGTTTGTATTCCTAGAATTACAGTAAGTGGTTTCACCCAAGCCAGAACGCAGAAGGTGAGAAAGGAAGGAAATTTGGAGGCAGGGCAGTTTCCAGTTGTTGTACGCCCTCAAGATCAGCAAGGGCAAGTACGGGTTGCTTTTGACCCCTTCCCTTCAAACAGTTGAAGGAGTTTAAAGAGGCCGTCAGTCAGCATGGGCCTGATCTCCATTTATGCTAGGATTATTAAAGAACGTAGCTATTTCTTACCGTGGCTTATTTCTTGATTCCAATAGATCTGATTTTGGGTACCTGGGGGCCTTTCTCAGGCTCTGATCCAAACCGGGGCCTATCCAGTATGAGCTATTCCCTCATCCCTATGCAATGCTTGTTCCCTGCCACAGCTGGGAGCGCAGCAGTAGATTTGTGCAGCTCGCAAAGCGTAATCATTTCACCGGGAGAGCCACCGCAAAAAATTATCTACAGGAGTTTGAGCCCTTTACCCCCTGGAACTGTGGGCTTACTTCTAGGAAGATGTAGTCTTGCTGCTCAAGGACATAGAATTCATACAGGAGTTACTGATGCGGACTTTATAGGGGAAATTTAAGTTGTGGTGTCTGCTTTCGTTCCCTGGAGTGCTGAGCCTGGGGAAGGCGTAGCACAACTTTTAGCTATACCATATGGCACAATAGGAAAAAGTGACACTAAGAGAACGAGAGGGCTTGGAGGTACAAACAAATGAGACAGCAGCATATTCGGTAAGTCCAATTACTGGTAAATATCCTACATGTGGGATGACGATTCACGGAAAGAAATGTACAGGGTTGGTAGACACTGGAGCAGATGTTTCTATGATTTCTTTCCAACATGGACCACTTCCTTGGCCCCTGGAAAATACTCAGTGTTTGGAGTAGGGCAGACCTCTGAAATGTAACAAAGTAGTGGCATTTTAACCTGGCAAGGGCCTGAGGGACAGCTTGGACCTACTGGGCCTATTGTGATGCAAATCCCTGTGAACTTGTGGGGGAAGAGATTTGTTACAGCAATGGGGAGCTCAGGTTTTAATACCTGAACAATCATAGCCCCAGGCCACGGAATGATGCAGGACAAGGGCTATGTGCCTGGGATGGGATTGGAAGAAAATTCGCAGAGCCCAAGGGAATCTTCAGAAATTACAGGACAAAATTCTTGCCAGGATTTGGGATGTTCTTTTTGATGGCAGCCATTGTGAAGCCTCCAGAGCCTGTTGCTTTGAAATGGATGACAAACCTGTATGCACAGAGCCATGGCAGCTGACCAAAGAAAACCTGGAGGCTTTAGAAAACGTAGTTACTGAACAACACCTGAATAAACAATCCAGCGAAGAAACTGTAAGGCAGTTGATCTGGTGGCGAGATCTACTCGCAAAGAATCGGGAACGAGGTAATGTAATAACCTGCGGGAGAGGATTTGCTCGCGTTTCTGCAGATCCACATCAGCAACCGCTGTGGGTACCATCCAGACATGTAACGCCATACTAGGAGCCAGATGACAGAAAACAGACTTGCAGAGGAACCCGCCAATCAGAGATGGCGAGACTAACATCGAGGGGGGGTACTGTTCCCACAAAGAGAAAGCGCCGAACGTCACACCGACGTGGGGTCGAATTAAAGCTTTCACAAAAAGCAGAGGAAAACCTGAAGAAAGCAGGGCGGCTTATGGTAATGATGATGATGGCCATCACGATTAAACTGAGTGTTTCTGGAGCTGGGGTAGAAGTAAAAGTTTCACACATTGGGCATATATTCTTTCCTTCCTTTAATGATCTCTGGCCTTACTATTCTCTGTAATTTAGGAAATAAAGTACCAATGTTTTGGCCATCAAAACTTGCATGCAAATAAAAGAACGGTCCCTAAGTTAAGGACATTAACCTGGAGAGATTGCGGAGTGGTAGAGGCTGAGGTGCTGCGCAAGAATTCCTATGGAAGTATTACTGGTCCCCTAAGGGGACGCTTAGCATCGATGGCACCGGTGAGTCCTTGTAGTAACATGGAATTCAGATGGCAGATAAAGAACTGCAGTTGAGAACTAATACATACCGAGATTAACACCTCTGTTGTCGGGAGAGGTGGGGGACTAGTAGGACCATGACCAAAATAGCATGGCCAATGTTAGAGCTGAATAAAAAGGAACTTTGAAAAATACCTATGGCCCTAAAGCTGATAAGGCTGGGAAGGAAAATATAATAATCAGGCCCCAATTATTGATGAGAAGTTCCTAAGAAAACTCGTTAGAGAGCTGTGTTAAACCCCGCAAAACTTTCGGCGGTGGGAGAGTTATAAATTAACTCTAGTAAGTCTAAAAGGTATGAGACTGAACAAAATTGGGAGAGAATAAACCAGCACCTGGAAAGGCCTTTAGATGGCAAGCAAGGAGGACGCCCCTTTTCAGCAGGAAGTGGAACAGAAGAACAGCCTCCGTCCTATTTCCCAAGAGACTTCTGGATCCCAACTCCTTAAGAAACGTAAGAGCAGGTAGTGAGGTCCCGAGGTGCTTAAGGAAGCTGCTGATGGATTCGCGGCCCTAAAATTTGGATGAAGACACTTGGAGGATGTATGATTCTACCGTGATGATGCTATTAATCTGCTGTTCTTTGTGTAGTTTGCAAGTATGCATCCAGAAGCGTCCGAGAAATGTTTCACCAAGATAGAGCTGTGCTTGCTTACCTAGCTTTGTGAAACGGGGAGCTACTGAGGAACATAGTTCCCCTGCCCCAGGGTTCCCTTGTGGAAGATCTTTTCGTTTGTAATTAGTGGTAGGTGGGTGACAGCTGCCTACTTGGTGGATTCTTTAGCTCTGTGTCTATGTAGAACACCTGTGTATCAATGAGAATCACCTGTCCAAGAGGAAATACGTGGATGCAAATCTGCTGGGGACCTTCAGTCTGGAGAGCTGTCAGCCCCGCAGGCTCTGGGGCTCTTGGTCCCCAGGACAGATCCACTCTGTGGTTCTATCTGGGTGTCTGCCTCTGAAATACCTTCGGTCCGTCTGGGTGGGAGTCTCATGACTCAGCTGGTAGTCAGGAGTTTGAGAGCAGCCTGGCCGACATGGTGAAACCCCGTATCTACTAAAGATACAAATATTAGCCGGGCGTGGTGGCGAGTGCCCGTAATCCCAGCTACCTGGGAGGCTGAGGCAGGAGAATTGCTTGAAGCTGGGAGGTGGCCTCCCAAGGTGAGCAGGAGGGATTACAGGTGTGAGCCACTTCTCCCGGCCAGCAAATGTCTCTTAAATGAGTGACTGCCTGTGTGGTCAATGATGATGCCATCATGAGCAAGGATGTGACACATCTGAGGTCACAGATGCTGCCCTTGGACCCTGATCCCACTGCAGAGCCTGTGTCTGCCATGGATTTACTTATGAAACAGGGTCTCACTCTCACCCAGGCTGGAATGCAGTGGCACAGTGTTGGCTCACTGCGCCTCAGCTTCCCAGGCTCAAGTGATTCTCCTGCCTCAGCCTCCCGAGTAGCTGGGACTACAGGAGCATGCCACGATGCCTGGCTAACTTCTGTATTTTTAGTAGAGACAGGGTTTCACCATTTGTCCAGGCTAGTCTTGAACTGGCCTAAAGTGCTCAGCCCACCTTAGCCTCGCAGAGTGCTGGGATTCCAGGCATGAGCCACCACACCCGGCCTAAAGCTCCCTTCTTAGGGACATAATAGTTTAAAATTGTTTTCTTCCTGATTAATTTATCCTTTATTGTGAATGATCCTCTTTAATGCTCTGCTCTGAAATCCACATTCAGTGATCTCACTGAAAATGGCGCCACTGGGAAACCAAACACCCTGGACCAGGGAGTCCACACAGGAGCCTGGCGGGACTGGCTGCCGGTGCTCGGGTTTCTGCCCCACTTGCCCCGGGATGTGGGGGCTCCCTGTACCTAGTAGTGCTACCTGAAAGGAGTCCCAATCCCGACCCCAGGACAGGGGTCTTGGATCTCGACTGAGTATATTTATGGTTATTTCTTGATTATATACTAAACAAAGGGTGGATTGTTCGAGAGTGTCCCAAGAAAGGGGAGGGGATTTCCCTTAACTGGGTCCCTCTCCGTTTTAGACATAGAGTCTAACTTCTGGACATTGCCATGGCGTTTGTAAACCGTCATGGTGCAGGTGGGAACGTCTTTTAGCAGCTAAAGCAGGACAATTAGTGCATCACGAGCAGTGTGGACGACTGGAAGTCACCTTTGTTGCCATCTGGGTTTCGGTGGGTTTGGGTGGGTTTTGGTGGGCTGCTTCACTGCATTCTGTTTTATCAAAGGGGTGTCGGTGACTTGTATCTTGTGATACCAGTCCTGCCAACCTCCTGTCTTACCCTGTGACTAAGAATGCCTAACCTCCTGAGAATGCAGCCCCGTAAGTCTCAGCCTCATGTGACCCAGCCCCTATTCAACATGGAGTCGCTCTAGTTCAATTGCCTCTGACAGTGATGATCTGTCCTTTCCTGGGGCTCAGCCTTCACCCACTGAGGGGCCATGGATGGGAGAATGTGTTTGGTTGGTGGGAATAACAGCTGAATTTCCCAGCCCCTGTGATCCAGAGGCTCTTCCAGGACACGGGGGCTGGAGAGGAGTGGGGGTCTCTGTGCGGGTGGGCAAGAGAGGCTGATGATGGCCTCTTTTTCAAAGAAGAGAGGCATGCTTGCCAGGAAGAGGCTGAGTGTGGCAGAGAGCAGCGGGGCCGATGTTTGAGGCAAGGTTCCCGTGGGGGGAGGAGGGACAAGCTGGGGGTGATGCCTGGAGGCCAAGGTGGCACCACCGGGCCCCTCCCCCCTCCTGTGGGGAACCCCGGATGGGCCCAGGTGAGCAGGAGGGAAGGGAGGGTCCGGCCTGGGAGTGCAGGGTGGGTGCTGGTTTGGGGCGAGGACCTGGGGAAGCAGGATAGGTTAGGAAAGGACCACGCTGAGGGTGAAAACGCCTTTGCAAAAACTCTCTCAACGAGAAAACTGAGAGAGTGAGCCGAGCTAACACGCCCCCGTCTTTCCTTTCCCTTAACGATTCCTGGGCTTTTGGGCTGAAGTAACTTTTGAGAGACATTAAGTTCGCAGTTTAAATAACAGGCCTCCCCAAAACTCCACTGCCTGTGTAAAGCTAATGAGGCTGGAGGGAGGAGCCAAGGTGTGGACCCTCTCACAAAATATGCCATTTCCCCAACTGCAGATTGGCTTTGGAGACATATTTCTGGGTTTCTGCATGTCTGATACCCATGGTTCTACCTGGACCCGCCAGTCTCGCTCCTGTGGCGCCCCCCAAAGAAGCAGAGGACAGCTTTGGGCCCCTGTGAGTTCATGTCTGCCCAATCAAGGGCTTGTTACCTGGCCACCCCACCCCCCTGAACTGCCTTGAAAAACCCCTACCTGTTGGGTACCGGCCCCAACCCTGTTCGTGGGTGTCCCCAGCCCTGGTGGTGACGAGGGATTGAGAAAGGAAATAAAGACAAAGACAGAAATAGAGTGAAAGTGTGGGTCCAGGGGACCAAAGAGAAGTGCGAAGACCACGTTCCCCCGAGTTGTGGTTTCCACGGGTTTTTATTAGGTGCACATGCTGGTTAATTGAGGGGTGGAAAGCAGCGGGGGGTTATCAGGGGAGGCCTTGAAACTATGGTGGGGCAAGGTAGCCGGGGGAGAAGCATGCATCATTACAATACAAAAAACAGCTGGTTTTCTAAGAGACGCTAACGCAGTACACCCAGTGTTACCACTCATCGTGAATGACGCGCAGGTGCAGCGGACACGGCGGGCGGGGGCGCCAGCAGGTCTGACCACGCACAGTGCGTCAAGGGGCTTTTGTCTCCTGAGCACTGTGGACATGGGCAGCCACGTTACCCCGTATTCTGAGGACACAGGCAGAGCGGCAGGTGTTCCACTATCTCCACCCGCAAGGCCTTCCTGCCTTGCCAGCTCCCATCTGCAAAGACCCTCCTGGATCTTGTGAGCAGAGGAGGCTGACCTTTCCTGGGTGCTTACACAAGCCCCCTTTACGGGACCGGGTGCGGCCCCCATGTTGGAAAGGAGCTCGTGGGACCAAGGCGGTGTTTTCCTGCCCCGCAACCACACCCAGGATGTGCCACGCTTAACGGGGCCTCCCATTACCCCTTCTGCTCGTGCTCTTACCAGCCACAGGCTGTTCCCTCCTGTGCTGTGCTTTTCATGCACTCTTATTTCACGGTCTAAACTCAGTGGACTGTGAGCTCTATAATAAGCAAATCAAACCTACATTTGTTTATTCAGCAGCAGTAGAGACCGCAGGTGTCTGCCCGGTCACCTGGGCCCACACCTGCCTAAGAGCCTTTGATGAGCTGGTTTGCGTTCAGACTCTCTCCCCCATGTGGTCTGGCCGGCCTCCTGTCTATTCAACGCTTTCTTTACTGAAATGCCGTGGTCTTTATTTGGGGAGGGGGGGCAGGAGGAACCCCGTGGGTGGTTATCAAAAGGCAGGATGAACTCCCTTTGAAATAAGTGGTACAAAACTCCAAAGGAAGAGGTGGGTCAGTGTTTCTTCTGCCACCTGAAATAATTGAAAGGCCCAGAATCCAGTTTGAAAGAGTTTATATCACCTTTGAGGACCAGCACTCAGAACACCCAGACTCCATAGGAATGGGCTCAGTGCTCGGAGGTGGAGGGGTGAGGGCTTCACTTATACGGGCAAACACAAGGAGGTTTAGCATAACTGCAACATTTTCCACATAAGATTGGCTTATGACTTGCAGCAATTTGTTTGGTTACATCTCATTCCGTACAGGAAAAGTACATTTGACACCCGTCTTATGCAGTTTGATAGTCATGGGGTCTTTTGTGCCATCTGGCCTGAGTTGGGTTTAAGAAAAGAAAGAAGGAAGCTAATCCTAACAAAGGTCAGTTACCACGGGAGGGGCGGGGTCTTAGAGCTGCTGCCATTGAGTCTTTCATAACGTTTTACAAATCGGGAAAGGGAGAGGGTTAATCTATAACTGGAGAGGCAAAGTTCACAGCGACGCGCTGCTCGACTAGGGTCTCAGAATCACATTCCTTCAAGCCTCAGAGTCATTTAAAGTTCCAACAGCTTTAATTCGATCAGCTTATTGTCAACCAAAAGAGTCAAACTCTAAAATATTTCAGGAGATTTTTTCTGTGACAAATCTGAGTGACCAATGGCCCGTGACCAAGCCCTCAGGAGGTCCCGAGAACATGTGCCCAGGTGATCTGGGCACAGCCTAACTATACATTTTAGGGAGACATGAGGCATCAATCAAATACATGCAAGATACACATTGGTTCCATGCAGACAGGTGGGGCGGGGAGGTTCCAGGTTATACGTAGATTCTACAATTTTTTTATTGGCAAATGGTTGAAAGAGTTGTCACTGGAGAGGAATGTCTAGGTTATGATAGTGGGTTGTGGAGACCAAAGTCATACCGCACAGATGAAGCCTCCAGGGAGCAGGCTTCAGAGAGAAAAGATCGTAAATGCCTCTTATCAGACTTAAGGCCTGTGTTGATGTTCAGTGCCGGTCAGCTTTTGCTGAATCCCAAAAGGGAGGAGGGCATAAATGAGGCATGTCCACCCCACCTTCTCTTCACAGCCTGAACCAGTTTTTCAGGTTAACTTTGGAGTGCCCTGGCCTAGAGGAGGGGTCCATTCAGATGGCTGGGGAGTGGGCTTAGAACTTTTTGGTTTAGACTATTTTCAAGCTTCTAACATCATCAGCCATCTTCTGCCAGGTGTGGCCTGGGGAGGGGTCCCTTACCATGTGATGGGAGGTGCTATCACAACTAGGCAGCTGCCCGTCAGCAGGTCACAGAAGAGCCTCTTGGACCTGGGGAAGGACCTGTGAGACTCTGTGAAGAGGAAAAGTCAGGTTCAAGTCACTGGTTTTCAATCAAACCCATTTTATAAATAAGAAAAATAGAAAACTCTTTTCTGGGTTGTGGGGAGAGGGGGACCCAGGGCACCTAAAGGCTAATTCTTGCTCGAGTCCTTTAAATTTTTACTTAGATTTTTTAAATGTTGAGAATAGACTTAATTCTCCATTCACAACTTTTAAAAATGGCTAAACATGGCCGGGCACGCTGGCTCATGCCTGAAATCCCAGCACTTTGGGAGGACAAGGCAGGTGGATCACTTGAGGTCAGGAGTTTGAGACCAGCCTGGCCAACATGGTGAAACCCCATCTCTACTAAAAAATACAAAAATTAGTCTGACATGGTGGTGGGCACCTGTAATTCCAACTACTCAGGAGGCTGAAGCAAGAGAATCGCTTAAACCTGGGAGGCGGAGGTTGTAGTGAGCCCAGATTTTATCACTGAACTCCAGCCTGGGTGACAGAGTGAGACTCTGTCAAAAAAAAAAAAAAAAAAAAAAAAGGAATGACTAAGCATTTTTTAAAATCAAAGCCATTTTAAAGCCCTCATCTCACTGGATTCTCAGCCAGGGCTGCCTACAGAGCAGAAGGCAGCTGTGGGAAGCAGACGGATGGTCCCACCTCCACCTGGAGGGTTCCTGCTCAGATCCTGGGTCACCTGCCCCACTGATGACACCTGAGCCGCTCCTGCTGGAAAATCGTACCTGGAACCCCCTTGGGTCTGGTCCCCTTTCCACCCCCAGCACTCCTAGGGCAGCCATATGGGAGAATGGAGCCCCCGAGGCGGCAGGGGCAGAGTGGGGTAGGTCAAGACTTGCCTAGTCCCACCCACAGGAGTTGGTTTTTGTTTTTTACACCAAACAGAGCAGCGCGGAGCAAGGAAGTAAAAATTACTCCAACTCCAGGTGAGCCAGAGCCCACAGAGGCAGCAGATCTCCCCGTGCTGGGCACACACCCAAGGCTGGTTTTTGACAAAGAATAATCAAAGATGACACCTTGAGGCTGCCCTCTCCCTGCCCCTCCTGGGCAAAGTCAGTGCGTTTGAGGAGTTAGCCTGGACTTGAACTTCTGGAACCCCGACCGCTGCTGGCCTTGGTGCTGGGACTCTAGGGGTGCAGGACACAGGGAGGGGCGTGGAGGGGGAGAGCAGCTGGACTCCGGCCACACTATGTCGGTGCCTGCCTCGTCTGTGGTCCCCCACTAAGCCATGGAAAGCCCCAGGGAGGCGGGGACCAGGGATCGCAGGGAAACCCTGAGCCCAGACCAGGTGCACCCCGCCTGCAGTTAGTCACTCCAGTCCCTGTGGGCTGGTCCAGGTGCAACCACAGCAGGACGCAGGTCGTCTCCAGGGAAACACAGGGAGGAAGGGTGCCCTCCCTCTTCCTTCCCCTCTCTCTCTGGGAGGGGAGGCTGCCCTGAGCAACGTAGTCCCACGTAGGATACTGGAAGTCTCAGCCTACCCCTTCTCTCCAGGGGCAAGAGGCTACTTGGAGCTGTCAGACCTCCGCAGCAACACACGGAATGTTCTGGAAACTGGGAGATAGGGCACTGCTATACAACGGTCAGGAATAGCCATCCTGTCCTCCTAAGACCCGGATAAAACCAACTTCTGCTGGGAAGGAGCACAGGGTGGGGCCTGGCCATTGGAGTCGGGAAGAACCAGGCATAAGTAACAGAACTGCCTGACCTCCCGTTTGTCACTTCAGCTCCGGGTCCACGCCTGACTTGGGATGACTGGGTGGAGCACATAAGAGGCTTCGTGATTCATTCTTTCCTGCACCTCAGATTCCTTTGCACTCGGGGTACTGGGCTCTGTTTCAGGTCCCCGTACACAGCACAGAAGGAAGAGAGTACCTGACTGCATGGTGATTGCTCTTAGTGGGGACACCTAGACACTAAACCAGTAGTTCTGTCATGCCAGTTGGTGATAAATTGGCTTGAAGAAGCTTCCACTTCCAGGCAAGGCAGAATAGATGCACCTGTCCCCATGCCTGACACTAAGGACAGTTAAAATCCCCATACAGTTCCCTGGATGTGACACATACATCAATGAGTACATACAGAACTGTATACATACAAAACACTGAAAGGTGGAGAGAGGAAGGCAGACCAGGTAGGGACCTTGGGACCTGAGGAATGACATGGCAGGAGTTCCCTGGGTTTTCTTTCTGACTCATATCCGTGATTGGGTGCTGGAGAAGCCAGCAACACAAAACACAAGGGCACAGACAACAAACCCAACAAGTCGGCTCTCAGCCAAAGCAGTTAGGCAAGAGAAAGAAATACAGGCTATCCAAGTTGGAAAGGAGGAAGTTAAATCGTCCCTGTTTACAGATGACATGATCTTATAGAAAACCTAGAATACCCTAAAGATTCCACCAATAAGTGGTTAGAATAAATGAAATCAGTAACGTTGCAGGATATAAAATTCACATACAAAAATCAGTGGCATTTCTACGCACTAACAAAGAAATCAAGAAAACCATCTCATTTACAATAGCTACCAAAAATTACTTGTGAATAAATCTAACCAAGGAAGTGAAAGATCTGTATGCTGAAAACTAGAAAACATTTGTGAAAGAAATTGAAGATACAAGTAAGTGGAAAGAGATTCCATGTGCCTGCTCCCACCTTCCCCCTGCAAAAATAAAGACATCCCATGTTCATGAATTGGAAGAACTAATATTCTCCAAATGTCCATTCAAGCCAAAATAATCTACAGATTCAGTGCAATCCCTATCAAAATTTCAATGACATTTTTCACTGAAAACAATCCTAAAATTCATATGGAACCACAAAAGACCCCTGAATAGCCAAGGCAATCTTAAGCAAAAGAATAAAGCTGGAGACAATACACTACCTGACTTCAAAGTATGCTACAAAACTATAATAATCAAAACAGCAAAACAGCATGATATTGACATAAAACAGACCAATGGAACTGAATAGAGAGCCTAGAAGTGAATCCATGCATTTATAGTTAACTGATTTTTAACAGAAATGCCAAGAATACACAATGCGGAATGGACAATAAATGATATAAAAAAATAAATGATAGTGCAATAAATGATACTGGGGCCATGTGCAGTGGCTCATGCCTGTAATCCTAGCGCTTTGCGAGGCTGAGGTGGAAGGACCACTTGAGGCCTCCCTCCAGGTTCTGGCAGAAACTGCCTCCGTGATCCCTTGTCTAAGGAGAAGGTGGCTCAGGACCTCCCTTTGGGGGCTGAAGGTGGTGGCCCCTCCAGGAACTTATGCCCCAGGCCCTGAATTCCAGCTGCCTATGTCTGTGTGCATGCATCTGTGTTTGTATGCATGTCTGTTTGTGTGTGTGCATGTCTGTGTATGTGCATGCATATCTGTGTGTCTGTGTGGTCTGTGTGTCTGTGCATTTCTGTTGGTCTGTCTCTGCTTTTTTGCATGTATCTCTGTGTCTGTGTCTGCATATGTATCTGTGTCTGCATGTGTCTTTCTGTGTATGTGTGTCTGTGTCTCTTTGTGTTCATGTGTGTGTATGTCTGTGTATGTAATCGTGCCTCTCTGTGGCGGGGGCGGGGGCGGAGGGGGGGGAGGGGGGTGTGATTTGAGGTGGGGGCAGGACCTAGGCTTCAGTTACTCTCAACAGGACGCAAAAAGTAAGCGGACTTTACCAGTTCTGCTAAAACCACGGGCGGGAAGGAGACAGGGATGCCGGCAGCTCTCCCAGAGCCCCTGGCAGCCGCTGACAGGCTCCGGACTGACCCGTGGTTCTTGGGCACCGCCACCTACCTCAGCTTCTTCAGGATGGGGGGCCAGCCCAGCAGCTGCTGGTCCCACAGGTACTCGGGGGACAGCACCTTGGTGGGTTTGTGGCGCAGCAGGTACTTGTTCAGGTGGCTCTCATCGTGCCACACGGCCTCGATGCCGTTGGCCTGGTCGATCATCATGGCCTGGTGGCAGGCCCTGGTGAGCCGCTGCACCTCTTGCACCGACCCCCCGAAGAACCCGCCTAGGTAGTAGAAATCGCCCTCGTCCTTGGGGATGTAGGCCTGGGACTGGGGCCGGCGCTCGTAGGTGAAGGCCTCCCGGCTGCTTCCGTAGAAGCCGGGATGCAGGGTGCCGAACAGCGGGGACAGGATCTCCACGCCCACGTGGTCGCGGAACTTCATGTCCACGTCGGCGCACACCAGGTAATCCACCTCGCGGAGGAAGCGCCGCTCGCAGAAGTCGCTGATCATCTCCATGCGGCGCATGGACACGTCCTGCCAGCGCTCGTAGGCGCGCACCTCCAGCACCGACAGCTGCCGGCCGGCCCCCAGCGCCACGTGCGGCACCGCGGACGCCTGGTCGGTGAAGACATAGTAGTGGACCCGGTGGCCCACCATGAAGTGCTTCTCCGCCGTCTCCAGGAACAGCTTCACGAAGGCCACGTATCTGCAAGGCAGGGGGACAGGGCCTGGGGAGCCGCCGGCCCGCGTCCTTGGGCTGCAGGAGGTCTGCCCTGCGCGCTCCCACCAGCGGCCATGGGAAGGCTCAGAGGAGCAGATGCACCACGTTCTCCTGCCCTGTCAGGAGCGAGACCTCAGGCTGCGACTCACTTCATCTTCCCAGCAATGGAGGGACCACCAATACCCCCTCATAGTAAGGAGGGCTGAGGGCAGGCAGCTGGAGGCTCGTAGCAGGCCCCAGGCTGGTGCTCACTCACCCTTAGCATGGCCTGAGCCACGCCTCCCCACACAGCTGCCCCTCCTATGCCCGGATCAGCCACGTGCCCCTTCACATAAAATGCGCTGGCGGCCCCACACGCCCACCTCTGCACCTTACAGTTACCTCGCTCCCAGGCTTGAGCTGCACATATTCCTAAGAGTAGGTCATTTCTGGACTCCCTCATTGTTACTGGCCCCTCTGCCCACGGGTGCTGAGAGGTCAAGTCCGTGTCTGCGTTCACCTCCCTAGCTCCCCGTGAAGCTGGCCTGGCCCAGAGTCCAAGGGCATTATGGGTTAGCTGCTTCCCTTGAGGTCTGGGGCCAACTGCCTTGCCTGCTTCACCTCATCTGAGGACACAGTGACCACGGCTCTGCCAGCATCCTCTTTCTAGGGTCCAAGGACAGTAAACAGGTGTCCCCCTCCTGCCATCTCTGGTCAGTGAGCGGAGTCCACCTGGAGCCTTGTATGGAGGTGGTGGCTCAGCAGGAGGGCCAGCCACAGGTACAGAGAGGAGGGGGCAGCAGGAGCCACCATCCCTGGGTGAGACGCAGCCTCTGGACAAGGAGCTCAGTTTTACCCCCAGGGAGCCCACGTGAGCTCAGTAAGATGCTGTGTGAATGGCCTTTCCCATCTACCCTCTGGGAGGACAAGGCTGGCTGCCACCCCACTCTGTCCTGAACACAAAGAGAGACCTTGATGTTCCCGGTCATTCCCCATAGCCCGGTCTCTGCCCTCGGCCCCCTCACTGACTTACTTCTTGATGGCAAACACAGTTAACCCGATGGTGGTGTTCCGGAGCCTGAACTGCTCATTGAGGATGTCGGTGTTGAAGGTGCCCTCCCAGACGATGGGAGCCAACCAAGGGGTCACCACAAGGACGTCTTTCCTACTGCAGATGGCAAGAGGTGTGCGGTAGCAGGGAGCTGGCAGGGCGCCGCCCACACATGCCTCTGGCACATGGCCGTCCCCACCTGGAAACCCCACTCAGCTTCTGCCACCTCTGACCACCCTTCCAGAGGCAGCCACCATTCCCCCAAAACCAACCAGAGGCAAATGCAGGCTCCAACTGGGCCAGCCATTCCCAACCCTCCCTCAACATTGGATCTGCCGGACTACAGAGGGAGCTGAACTTTGCTGGCAAAGAGACAGGAATCCCCCCACCGACACCCTCCCCCAGCCCCCCTCCCCAGGGAGGAGGTACCTAACAGGCCTCTGCAGGGGCTTTGGTGAACAAAGAGCTAGAAAACAAGAGACCAAGTCAGAGAAAGCAAAGGGAGTGAGAACAGCCATGTGGGCCTCCGAATTCAGATGTCAGGGGCACCTGAGAGGAGAGAACGGCGAAGCAGCCCCAGCTGAGATTTCCGTCAGGGAAACCGCCCTCTAATGCCCTCGGAACAGCCCCTGGAGCTGCGTGCAGTTTCAGTAACTTACTCACCATGGTGTCAGCGTCTGTGGCTGGGGGTAGACCATCCTGCAAGCACAAAGCGCCGTGCCGTGAGTTTGGAGCTTGCATGGGAAGCGTGGGATGCATGTAGGTGGGGGGCGCACACCCTCCCGCCAAGGCCGCCCTCCCAGGCTGGAATCACTGTGGCTGCTCCGGGCTGTGTCAGCCCACAACCCCAGGACCCCGGGGCAGGGCCGAAGCTCAGTCTCTGATCCAGCACTTGTAGACTGGGGAGAGGGCCGAAGTGACCGCAGGCCCATTGCTTTCCACTTGACTTAAGGCTGGGAGGGATGTAGGGGTCCTGCCTTAATTCACTGTGTGCAGAGAGGAGACTGTGTGTGTGGCCCCTGTCTCTGGTCATTCCCAGGGAAAGGGCCTGAGATGTGCAGACACCTCACCTGGGCCCGAAGCCTGCTGGGCCTCCTTGTGGGCTGGTGGCGTCCACAGCCCGGCTTCCTCTCTGAGAAGTCAGGGAGTAAAACCTGCTCTGACAGTGACACAAAGCACTGTCAGGTGCCACACACAGACTGTGGGACGTGCGGGCCACAGTGATGTCCCCACCTGAAGTACTGGAGAGGCCTAGGAGACATGAGCCAGGGCCATTGAAATTGTCAGTAATGACCACAATTTGAATGTCCTATGATGGCCTTTAAAAGCAGGGAATCAGCTGACAGTAGAAGGAAATTCTGACACTTGCTACAGCCTGGGTGGACTGTGAGGACATCGCGCTCAGTGAATTAAGCCTGTCAAAAAAGACAGCTACCACTGATTCCACTCATAAAAGGTGGTTGTAGAGGTCAGACTCAGAGCCACAGCCACGGAATGGTGAGTGCCAAGAGCTGAGGGAGGGGACAGCGCAGTGGCTATTTCAAGGCGACAGAGCTTCAGTTGTGTAAGATGAAAAGAGTCCTTGTGATGGCTGCACAGTAACGTGCATGGACAGAGCACCCCTGACCACTGACCACTTACCGATGATCCAGTTAGCAAATTTTATGTTAAGTGTATTTGACCACAATTAAAAAAAATAATCAAAAGCAGTGTGGGCAACTTGGCCTTGGTTGCCTAGACTCCCGCAGTCTCAGCACTGATAAAGGCCCACATCCTGGGAAACAGCCCCCGAGGCCCAGACAGAGCAGACCAGCTGCTCCTCCTCTTTCAAGGCCAATGACAGGCAGCTGGTGAGAACTGAAGTCCGGGCTGCATGGCGCTCTCGGAGTGGCTGCAGGACGAGGGCGGAGTCAGAGCAGAGACTGGCTAGGGAGCGGCCTCCTCCCTCCAAGCCACAGGAGGAAAGAGGAGCTGCTCCCACACGCGTCTGCCCACACACACACAGGTACCCGGCTGCAGGACAATTCTGTGACACGGGAGCCACCGAAGGAAGACATTGTACCTTGGCAATGCGACACTCTGCAGACCGCCCGGTTCCCTAACAGCCATGCTGCAGAATGAGAACACAGGACATGAAGTTTATTCCAGCAGCAGGGACTGAGGGCACAAGTGCATGGGAGCCAGCAGAGGGTCCCAGTGGAAGGGACACAGCGTCAGCCTGGAGCGCGGAGCAGTGTCCACCAGGAACAGTCCCAGAACAGCTATCCCTGTGCTGATGGGCCTGGCGTGGGCCCATGTGCCAGACTCTGGAAGGCCAACGCTGCTGTCTGAGGCCTGCGTTTGGGGGGTCTCGCAGCTCACAGGTTCACCAGACACGTCGAAGCCAAGGCTGGGCGGAGTGGAGTTTCAGAACATCTCTGCAAACCCCGAGGCCCCTCCCATCAAGAGATGGGGTCTGATATTCCTGTTTCTAAGAAAGAACATGTGGCAGAAGTGACACTGGGTGACTTCTGAAGCCAGCCCTAGAAGGCCATCCGGCTTCTGTATCTTTTTTCTTGGGATATTCGTCTTGGAGCTTCCACACCAAGCTGAGCAGGAGCCCAGGCCCCGGGGAGAGGCCCTGGGTAGGTGTCTCAGCTGAGAGGCAGCATCAACTGCCAGAGATGCAGGGAAGTCCTTGCGATGACCCCAGCCACCCACGGTCTGCCCACAACTGCTTGCAGCCCCAAAGTGAACCAGCCAGGTGAGCCCCGTGCACCCCAGGAAGCCCAGGGACAGAGGCGATCAGTGGCTGATCGTTTTCCATGGATGGGGCTGTGCTCTGCGGCCAGGGGTCACTGACACGAGTGGGAATTAGCAGACACGGCAGGGGGCACAGCACGGGCACAGGCCCGGAGTCAGGACCGCACGGCACGTGGACGAGCCACAGGCCACTCTGAAGCACAGAGGGCAAGGCAGAGTTGGGAGAGATGAGGCTGGGGAGGTCAGGCAGGCAGGGTCAGACCATGGAGAGCCTCCTACCTTCTGTTCTGGAAAGACCACTCCAGCACTGTGAGGACACGGGGGACAGGGCTGAGGGATGGGGAGACAAGGCTGAGGCTGTTGCAGAGATGAGGCAGCCCCACCGGACCGATGGAGCAGGGCTGCGAAGGCAGAGAGGCCGCCGGGCGTGTGAGCTGCTGAACAGCAGGGCTGGCGGGACTTGGGAACCCAGTGTAGGGCTGAGGGCAAAGGGAGAGTTGAGGATGGCAGGTGGAAGGCGACTCAGGAGGAGGGGTGTGGGCAGGGAGCAGAGACCATGTGTGCGAACTCTGGGTAAGCCTGGAGTCGGGGACTGGAGGTCAGAAGGTCAAGGCTGGCTCCAGAGATGTGGAGGCAGACGTGTCAGGTGACCCTTCAAGGCCACAGAGCTGGCCACATCTACACTGGGCATAGGATGGAGAGGGGGCCCAGGCCCACCCATGTGTGTGCCCGGGAGGGGCAGGGGGAGTTCCCAGAGCGGGACCCCAGCCCACAGCCAGCACCCCGGCCAGCACAGATGGTCCGCCTGCCCTTCTCCTCACTCACCGGGCCTCCAGTTCCAGCCTTCCTGGCATTAGGCTTCTGGGGCTTAGGACCCGGTAACTGCAGGAAGGAAGTGTGCCAAGGTTCAGGACACAGAACCAAGACTGCCTGTGGATCCCTTCCTCCAAACTGCACATGCTGGGGCCAGCCATGAGCACAGGAGTCCCCGATGAGCTGCAAGGCCTCCAGGCGGCAGGAAACCTTCTCAGCAAAGCCCAGGTGCCTCACCACATACCGCACCAGGAGGTGGGCAGGAGGGGGTCCCTGGGGATACTGCTCATGTATGAGCACCTGCAGAAGGTCCCCCGTGCCTTGGTCAGTGCAGCCCCCGAGGCCACCTCAGGGAGCATTTCCAGGACATGTCCACAGATGCCCCACTCTGTGGTTCTGGGACCCTCTGTGTCTGGAAGCGGCTAACCGCTCGGGACCCAGACTTGCCTTCCCCAGCCCCAGCCACTCAACTGTGGGCAAGGGGCTCGCTCTCCCAGCCCCAGACTCCCCACTTATGAAAAATTTAAATGGGAGAGTGAGGAGCCCATTGCCCGGTGAGGCTTAAATAGGGAGCAAGTAAAAACACCTCACACAGCCCGACGTGGGCAACAACTGTCCTTAGGACCCTGATGGCCACTGTGATGCTTGGGGGGCTGAGGGGGTCCCCATGGGTCTGATTAGCTGCTGTGGCCACTTCTCCCCAAACCTGGCCAGCACCGATGGGCAAATGTGTCTTACCCAAACAAGACCAAGACAAGCATTGTTAGGAAAAGGATCATAGGTAGAGGTGCGTAGCATTTTGGTTTTCCTGGAAAACAGGAGGGAAAAATCACATCACTCACCCTCCTTCTCTCACCTGCCCCACTTTCTGTGTCCTGTCTGTGATTCAGGCACCAGACCCTGCGAGGGGCCTTCATCTGCCAAGGTGGTGCCTCTGCCCCACAGGGGACGCTCTGAGCCCCACCTGAGCATCTGCAAACCCAGTCCAGACCCGGCCCTCCTCCCGCTCAGAGAACAGGGAGGTGGTCTGCTCCGCCCAGCTCATCAGCCCGACTGCTCCCACAGACTCTGAGCATCACCCCGGCTTCCTAATGACCTCCTTCCACCTAGCACCCTCTTCCCATGGGAGACCGAAAGGAACCACACTGAAATGAGCACCTCAAGGTCATTTGAACCAACTGGGGGAGGCCAGACCAGTTCCTGCCACAGAGAGGAGCCACCACCCTTCCCCGGTGTCTCTCTGCCCTCTCAGACGCCCATGCCCTGGAAACAATCGGTGGTGTTTCTTTTAAGGTGATTTTTATGTATGTTAAAGTCACGTGCTGTAGTTCCCCCTCATCCACGCCTTCCCTTGCCGGAGTTTCAGTGACCCATGGTCAACCAAAGGCCAATGATAGGTGAGTACAGTGCAGCAAAGTATTTTCAGGACAGGTCTGGGGGCTCATGCCTGTGATCCCAGCACTTCGGAGGCTAAGCCAGGAGAACTGCTTGAAGCCAGGAGCTCTAGACCAGCCTGGGCAACATAGTGAGAACTCACTTCTATCAAAGAAAAAAAAAATAGCTGGGCATTGTGGCGCACCCCCATGGTCCCAGGAGGCTGAGGTGGAAGGATCACTTGAGCCCAGAAGGTCAAGGCTGCAGTGAGTCACGAATGCACCACTGCACTCCAGCCTGGGTGACAGAGCAAGACCTTCTCTCTTAAAAAAAAAAAACCCACAAACCAAGGTATATATATATGTTTTTTTTTTGAGAGAGACCACATTCACATAACCTTTATTACAGTATATTCTTCTGTGCTGTTTTTCAGATGGCGTTTGCTCTTGTTGCCCAGGCTGGGAGTGCAATGGGGCAACCTCAGCTCACTGCAACCTCCACCTTCTGGTTCAAGCGATTCTCCTCCCTCAGTCTCCAGAGTAACTGGATTTACAGGTGCCCACCACCACGCTCGGCTAATTTTTTGTATTTTTAGTAGAGACAGGATTCCACCATGTTGGCCAGGCTGGTCTCGAACTCCTGACCTCAAGTGATCCGCCTGCCTTGGACAATATATTGTTATAATTGTTCTATGTTATTATGATGGTAGCTCCATCCTGTGCCTAATTTATAAACGAAACTCTATCACAGGTATGTGTGCACAGGGGAAGACAAGTCTGTTAAGGGTTTGGTACTAGCCGTGGATTCAGACATCCACTGGGGATCTCGGAAAGTATCTCCCGCAGGTAAGAGGGGACTCCTGTGTTCACAAGGTCAAGCCTGGAAGGCTTCTGTCTCCCGGCCCGGTCCCTTTCAACTAATTGTTCTGCTGCTGCTTATCCCATAGAGCTTGTCTGTATTTACCTCCGCCCTTCTGAATCCTGTGAGCATGGAACAATTTATCTCGAATAGCTTCCTGCAACAGAAACGTGGGAGGGACGCAAAATTGGAACTTTACAGGTCTTAAATTATTTTTTCCACTTTTGTAGTCGGTAGACTGTTTGGCTGTAGGGAAATCTAGATGAAAATAATTGTCCTGCAATTTGGCAGAAATTATTCCATCTTTAAAAACTTTGAAAATCAACTTCATTTGAGGGATAACTTACATGCAGTCAAATCTATGCACTTTAGGTATACGGTTTTGAGGTGTTTTGAACAATGCACACATGTAATCACCCCCCAAACAAGATAGATAACATTTTCATCACCCAATAAGGTCCCTCCTGACCCCGGATCTGGTTCCCTGGTGTTTCCCATAAACGGAACCGCCTGCCACACGCTCTTCTCTGTCTGGCTGCATCACACAGCAGGACGTTTTGAAGGTTCACCTACACTGTCCCGTGTATCAGGGGTTCATTCTTTTTTATTGCGGAGAAACGCCGTTGTTAATACACCACAATTAGTTTACCCTGCCTCCTATTGACAGACGTTATGGTTTTTACGGTTTGGGGCCCCCAGCAACAAAGCTTCTACAAACACTTGTGTGCAGGGATTTGTGGACCTTTGTTTTCATTTTCCTGGAGTAAATACCAAGGAGCAGAAAAGATGAATCATATGCTAAGCATGTGTTTAACTTTTTCCCAAAGCGGTTACTGAATTCTCCATTCCCACCAGCAATGCAAGAGAACCACGGGTGCTCCACATTCCTGCAGACACCTGATGGTCACTCCTTTACATTTTAGCCTCCCAGTGGGTGAGTAGTGGTGTCTGATTGTGGCCAGTGACTAAGCAGGACAGTCATCTTTTCATGTATTTATTGGCCATTTGTTTGCTTCTTATGAAGCCTGTCCAGATGTTTTGCTCATTTTATTATTTTATTTTATTTTGAGACAGAGTCTTACTCTGTCACCAGGCTGGAGTGCAGTGGCGTGGTCTTGGCTCACTGCAACCTCTGACTCCCTGGTTCAAGTGATTCTCCTGCCTCAGCCTCCCGAGTAGCTGGGATTACAGGCACATGCCACCACGCCCAGCTAATTTTTGTATTTTTAGTAGAGACGGGGTTTCACCACGTTGGCCAGGATGGTCTCCATCTGCTGACCTCATGATATGCCTGCCTTGGCCTCCCAAAGTGCTGGGATTACAGGTATGAGCCACCACACCTAGCCCATTTTATTTTTTATTTATTTACTTATATATATTTCGGGGGACATGGTTCTGCTCCGGTTGTTCAGGCTGGAATGTGGTGGCAGGATCCCAGCTCACTGGAGCCTCCACTTCCTGTGCTCAGGTGATCCTCCCACCTCAGCCTTTTGAGTAGCTGGGACTACAGGAGTGCACCACCATACCTAGCTAATTTTTGGGGGTTTTGATGGAGATGGGGCTTCACCCTGTTGCCCAAGCTGGTCTTGAACTCCTGGGCTCAAGCGATCCACCTGCCTCTGCCTCTCATGTTGGGATTACAGGCACGAGCTACCTCACCTGGACATTGATTTTTATTTTATTTTAGAGGCAGGGTCTTACTCTGTCACCCAGGCTAGAGTGCAGTGTCATGATCACAGGTCACTGCAACCTCAAATTCCTGTGGTTAGGCCATCTTCCCCCCTCAGCCTCCTGATTAGCTGGGACTACAGACATGCACCAACATACCTGGCTAATTATTCTACTGTTTGTAGACACTGGGCCTCCTTTTAAATTGAGTTGTTTCTCTTTTATTATTGAGCAGTATAATTTATTTCTATATTTTGGATACAGGTCCTTTGCCAAATTCTAATGTTACAAATATTTTCTCACCAGGCACAGAAAGACACCGCATGTTCTCACTTATGTGTAGTACTGAAACATCAAAACAATTAGCTCATGGAGACAGAGGATAGAAGGGTGGTTAGCGGAGACTGGGAAGGGCCGTGGCAGGGGTGGGAGGGTATGTGGGATGGTTAATGGGTACAAAAAATAGAAGGAATAAGACCTCGTATTTGATAGCATAACAGGGAGACTATAGTCACTAATAACTTAATTGTACATTTAAAAATAAAAGAGAAGCTGGGCACAGTGGCTCACACCTACAATCCCAGCACTTTGGGAGGCTGAGGCAGGTGGATCACCTGAGGTCAGGAGTTGGAGAACAGCCTGGTCCACATGGTGTATCCCCATCACTACTAAATATACAAAAATTAGCCAGGTGTGGTGGTGTGCACCTGTAGTCCCAGCTACTCAGGAGGCTAAGGTAGGAGAATTGCTTGAACCTGGGAGGCGGAGGTTGCAGTGAGTAGAGATCACCCCACTGCACTCCAGCCTGGGTGACCGAGCGAGACTCCGTCTCAGAAAAAAAATAATTAAAATAACTAAAAGAGTATAACTGTATTGTTTGTAACACGAAGGATAATTGCTCAAGGGGACGGATACCAGTTCTCCATGACGTGAATTTTCCATTGTATGCCTGAACCAAAATGTCTCATGGACCCCATAAATATATACACTATGAACCCATAAAAATTAAAAGCCAAATACTTCTTAAAAAACAAATATTTTCTCTCTGTGACTTGTTTATTCATATATTCATTTCTCCTTTTTTCTTTTGAAGGGATGTGTTAATTTTGATAAATACTAATTTGTCCTTGTGAAAATGAAACCGTTTTATGGTTTGAGCTTTTTGCCCCATCTATTAAATTTCTGCCTGCCGCAAGTTTATGAGTATTTTCTCATTTTCTTCAGAATTTCATAATTTTTGTGTATCGTGTGAAAGGCTAAAGTCCCTTTTTTTCCCCAAATGAATATCCAGTCATGTCAGCCATTTGAATTGATAATACCTTCGTTTCTCCATCACATTATCTTAGCAGCCTTACTGAAAAGCAACTGTTAAAAAAATCAGTTGAGTATCTGTGTGGGTCTATTTCTAAACTCTGCATTCTGTTCCATTGATCTATCTGTCTATCCTAATCAGCCTATTCTGATTACTGTAGCTGTGTAATCTACCTCGAAATCCAGCTTGGAAGGTAAGTCTTCCAACTCTTTTTTTTTTTTTTTTTTTTTTTGAGACGGAGTTTCACTCATGTTACCCAGGCTGGAGTGCAATGGCACGATCTCGGCTCACCGCAACCTCCGCCTCCTAGGTTCAGGCAATTCTCCTGCCTCAGCCTCCTGAGTAGCTGGGATTACAGGCACGCACCACCATGCCCAGCTGATTTTTTGTATTTTTTTAGTAGAGACGGAGTTTCACCATGTTGACCAGGATGGTCTCGATCTCTTGACCTTGTGATCCACCCGCCTCGGCCTCCCAAAGTGCTGGGATTACAGGCTTGAGCCACCGCGCCCGGCCTTCCAACTCTGTTTCTCTTTTTCAAATTGTTTTGACTATTCTGAGACCTTTGTGTTTCTATATAAATTTTAGAATCA